GACCTTAACATTTGTTTTAGTTGTAGCTGAACGTTAAAATATCTAAGTGTATGTGTCACTCATGTGTACCATAAACCACACAAATATTTAAAATAAGCCCTATAGAAAGTTAAACCAATTTTTAAGTTAAACGAAACGCCATTTTTTTTAACACTTTTTTAAAATGTCTATCCAAAACGCATTATAGATCAGAAAATTTTTAAGCAAATTATTTGCAATTAAAAATGTTAACTAGTTATGTATGTCAACATTAAAGTTTCAACAATTGACAAATTACCAGGAAGAGTATAGATTTGAGTGTAGACTGAAATTGTAAAAAAAAAAAATAACTAATATGTCTCATAAAGAAAAAATTGCAAAATTTTTGTGTACTATAATTAATGAAACATGCGGTATAAAAATGTGTTGCATCTATGCCTTACCAAAAACAGTCATTACTGAACAAAATGCGCTTCTTAAATTTGTTTTAAAGAAAAAGTGAAGAGGAGAATGTAATCTTTATTAAAAATAACAACGTTTTGATTGAAGATTTCGTGAACATAATAAAATACTAAAAATGTTGACGGCTTCACAACGGGTTGGTAGTTATAATTTTAATTTTTTTTTTTTTTTACTTTATTAGCACGATTGATCAAAACACCAGGTAAAAAGATGATATTCAAATTTTGTCCTCGAAAAATTAGCAACAATATTCATTAAAAATATTATTTGAACATGTTCATCTTAGAAAAAAAAATTATAATTTTTAAAAATTATTTTTTATTTTAGTACTTAAATATTTGAATACAATTTTTTTTATCAGAAATCTTTCACTATCGGTTTGTATTTTGTCTCTAGAGCAAACTTATAAGTTTTAAAGTATTCTACAGATGTTTTTATGTACTACAAAAAGAAATAATTTAATTACGCATTTTGTGTTCTGACATATAATAGAATAACATGTATGTTAAAACTTCTAGATGGCAGATGTATACCGGGATTATGTATTTTTTTGGAGATAAATGTAAGTGTAAGAACATTATTATAGTGGTCATTTTTATTGATAAACATTTACATTTTTCCAGACTAGCACTGGTTTAGTCTTCTCATATATACACGTAAACATAAGCTGTTCAGAGAAATACCGGGTTCTTTCTTATTCAAAATCCACTATCGAATCAAGAGTGTAAATTACATTTGCTTATAAACGCCATTGATTTGTTAAGGTTTTAGTATTTGTTTTTTTTTTGTTTTTTGCAAACCAAAAACATGTTTAAATTTTTTTCAGATATTACAATAAATTTCTTAAAAAATAATATCAAAGAACACTGTATGCGCTAGAATATTACATTTCATACATTTTCATATAAATAGAGATATTAAACGGTTGTTAATAATCAATAGATTATTTAATTAATTTGTAAAATTGCTAAAGATTTAATAAATATAATTCGTGTAATGAAATATTTGCTTATATACTTTTTAACTATTCCGTTTTACTTGGATGGATACACATTAGTCCTATCCTTTAGCTTATAGCCTTATATTATGTTAGTAACTTAAAAAGTTTATATTCAAACCTAATACTAATTTTATAGACCAATTATGACTTTATAATATGCCTGAAAAAAATACTATGACCCAACCTTAATATCAGAATCAATTTTATAAAAAAAACATTTGTACACACTTTAAACTAGGTCATAAACAAAAAATCTGTGCAAATTTTCATTTTCTTGCAGGTCTCGTACAATACACCGCGTACATATTTTGAATACAATTACCAAATATTACAGAATAGATTGCTATAATTTTTTTTTTTTTTGGTAATATTTTCAATCTTTAGGTTATATTAAAGTACAAAAAGGGAACGGTAATCATGCCGCAAGAGTATAATCAATTAAATGATTTACCATTGTGTATGGGTTCACTTTAGATGTCTCTCAAATAATAAAACATAAATACATGAACACAGAATTAGTAAGATGCACAGATCATTTTCATGAGTTCACTGTAAATACTAAATATTTTTTTGGAAATTCCATATTGTGCAGTTTGATTTGAACTGTATATTGGTAAGCAAATAAAGTATTTCACAATTTCCAGTAGTTGTGTTAAACATAACAAACAATTTGATTGAGTACCCATTTTATGGTTTAACACCCAACTGTGTTAAATCTTATTGTATAAATCTTACTTGGAATCGGTCAACGACTAATAGAATAAATTAAGAGTGTTGAAAATTGTAACAGTTTTCAAATAAAAAAAAAAATATGCATATGGCGTATTGACAGGGAGTGGCTGTGGCTAGTTTTCAAACGAAGTAACGAGAATTAATGTACTGAAGCGGCTCAATGTTAAAACATTTTTACTAACAACTTACCAATGCGTTAAGCTAATTAACATTTTTTTAGATCAAATATTTTGTTTTGAACCATAATTTGTTTTAAAAAAACCAGTGCGTGTTACGAGTACGCGCGGATAAGGTGAAAATTCTTTTAGAGATACTTACCTGATAGAATATTAGGTTTGTATTGTAATAATATGCATTACTGAACTCGGTGTAGTACAAATTGTGTAATAAAAGATATGCTTATGTGAAGATTTGTATATTAATTAAAATAGTTTTAAATTGGAAAAACCAAAAATGTTTTTTTAAATGCAACATAATTAAGGAACTATGAAAAATATTGTAGAAAATATATAACTACCAGCAACTTGCAACTGCCTATTGTACTAACTTTTAAAATTTGCTTCATTTGGTTTATCTCTAATTTTCTTTTATAATAATTCTGAAATGCACACAACAGTGTCAACACTTTTTTGTTAATATAACGCGTTATGGAACTAATCCAGTTTAGCGCCCACGAAAAATACCCTGGACTCTAAACTATATATTAATGGCGAAAGGGCATAAAAGGAAAATGCAGACTAAAAATTATTTTAAAATTGTGCCACGATCCAAAACGCCGAAGATTTATTTTATTTTAAAACGCATTCAGCCAAAAAAAACTTCAGTAAAACAAAAATTGTAATTATAACTGGTACTAGAGTATCAAAACTTAATAGTATCATTCTGAATAGATGCCCATAATAATATTGTAATGATTTGGTAACACATTTTTAAGTTTTAAAGTGTTTATGTTAAAATATACAAAATCTGCGAAAAACACAGTTTTCCGGCAATTAAAGAAAAACTGAAGTTCCCAATTTTTTCTTCGATTAATATGTTATTTATTTTAACTGTGAAGCAGTAAACTTTTTTAAATTTTACACTCCCCTTCAAAGTACCAACTAGATGGAATTTGTAATTTATAAAGTCGCTACTCGAAGGAATTGGTCCAGTATTGAGCATTGTAAAGACAGTAGAATTATTAAAATTGTGTTTATTTCATGAGTTTTCTTAATAATTTGTTCTCTTTGTTATCCGTGTAATAAGCAATATAATAAATAGGTTTTTTCATATACATTCGTTGATTCTTATCAACAGCTAAACAACACCAAATAAAAACACTTTTATTGTATACAAAAAAACCATCACATCTCCGCATCCAAGGTAAAAAAAAAATACGTGTTTTTGTAAATAATATTGGTGCAAAAAAATGGTACAAAAATCTACAGTTGTGTGTAAAACCCTTCATCTTCCACCTTGCCATCGACCAAATACGTCTAATAAAATTTGGCCGGCAAACATAGTTTTTACACTTGCGCCAATACGAAAAACAAGTAAAAAATACTTGTTCGACTGTTTATTCGTTATATTACTTCGGTCCCCGTAGTCGTTTTTTTTTACACAGGTTTGAATTTTTTTTCGTTTGCATTTTAATTCTTTAAAAAGGTACAATGCATTTTAAAACTGCTGTTATTCTTTGCGCGTTGTATCTCTTAACGTCTGCACGGGTAAGGGTATTTAGATATTACTTTATCTCAGATAAAACCATGTCTAAAAATAATTAATATATGTGTGTAGATTATATAACATTCGTTTGACAGAACGGTGTATAAAATAAGTGTTGATCTGCCACGTCATGGCAATACACATTTAGTGTAACTGTAACTGATGATATTTTATTTTAGAGCATTGGACTGAACAGTACACAGCTATGTGAAATTATTGATCTGTACGAAAATCACAAAATGTTTGCTGGCCGAATTGCCGAAGAAAAAATCACACAGCTTATGGAAAATTTTTTTGGAATTCAAGAGTCTAAAAAACTTTTTGATCGCGATTCAAGTAAAATATTGTTTTAATTTTCCATTCATTATGATACATACAGGCAATTAGAGTGTAGCACTAAGATGCATTGTGATATGTGAATCATATTATATATTAATCGACTGGTTCACAACAAATTTTGGAATTACTTTTAAATGTATTTAAGTTTACAGTGTAGGATGGGAAGTGGATTGCGGTAGAGTGATGCGTGCAGATAGAAATAACTATCTACCGTACTTCACCTTCCATCCCAAATATATATTATTTTATTGTACACTTATCCCACAAAAATGGCCCACGTCGAATTCAAAATTCTTATCACTAGTTAGCAATCTAGTTTATTATGTATATCTGTGTACGTGTCAGTATATCACCAATATGTGTTATCAGAATTCAAACTTTAGTAAGTAAAAACAACCGTTATTACCGTGGTAGAAAACGGAAGTAATAAACATTTGTTTATAATAACACCTACACGTCATCTAATTTTAAAGTCTGTGGTTTATATCTAAATCTTCGTTCACAATAATTATACAACAGAAAATCAGAAATATAAGTAATAAATTAAAAAAAATACGATACAGATGTATTTGGCTATTGCTATTAATTAGCTACTTATATAATTCAAATTTAAATGTTCACGTTTTTAACCATTTAATGAAAAACAAAATTCTGACACTTTTTTTGATCTCTTTAAAGTTACATTTTTTTGACAAATTTCACGATTACCAAAAATTAATCATTCTACACTGTAAATAAATGAACGACTTAAAAGTAATTGTGTACTAATCAATTCGTATAGACGGAAACAATGCTGTAGATTTAAAGATGTTACTGTTGACATTGGCGTATAAAGATAAGAAAACACACGACTGCTTCCAGGTATTGGTCTAAAATTACTTTTTAAAACTAAAAACAAAAAAATTACATCAACCGTAATCAAATATCGTAATACTCTAAATGAATAACGCATTGGTTTTTTGTGTGTATACATTGGACATAGACTCAAATGCTTACACCTTTTGAAGTGGAGTTTTTCCTCAGTGTGTTTACCGAACACGCAAACAGTTCCAACCAAGATGGACGTCTTAGTCTTCAACAGCTACCAGGTGTATTAGAAGATTTTAAATTAGACGATACGGAGATCGATAAAGTAGTCAAAAAACTTAAAGTTGATAAAAAAAAAAGGATCTTTTCAAAGGCTGGTTACACAATGTCGAAATTTTTAAATTTGAATTCAATTAAAGCTCAATTTGTTATTAATGAAGCGGATTTCTTGTTGATAATGTTGGAAATAAAACCAGAAGTAAGCAATTTTATATTATGTGCAAAAAGTGGAAAAATATAATCTCTAGCGGATTATTAAATAAAAGCTTTATAAAACAACGAACTTTTTATCGTTGTATATTAAATAGCAATGGTCTGTTGAGACTTTGAAAGTTCGAATTTTCAATAAAAATATAGTACTATTTTAAATTCTTAAAAATATATATTAAATTAAATCTGTATTATGTAAAAACGAACAATGCAAATAAAACATGTTTTTAAAACACAATAAAACAAATTGAATTATTTGATTTTTGAAATTTCATTAATCATTTTTTTCAGTTTTGCCATTTTTAAAACATAAAGTATCAAACGAATATTAATTGTTATTTTATTTGAATATACATCCAAAAAACTAAATTCATTGTTTTCTAATCATACGAATTTTACGATAATAACATTATCAGTCTGATTAATACCATTGAAATGTTCATCTTAAGTATTGCTTTCTTATATGAATGCTTACATTATAGGGTTATGGTTTAGACCTACAGCAAATAGAAAAGTTCGTTGATTTGTATAATAATTGTCCCAAAACGGATTCCGGTAGTATTGAACCTCTGGAAATTCAAAAAATCTTCAAAGAGTTTGGTATGGCTGATCCGAAACATGATTCGAAGATGCTGTTCAAATCCAACCGTAAGAATATAATGTTAAAGTTTTCACGTTTCATACGTTCAGCTATAATACATAATATTTGAAATAATACTTATTGAAACCTGCACAGGATCCGCCGCACATGAGTTGTTGGAGTTGATGCTGGTTACGGCAGAACGCTGTAGGACGGTACACAAAATACGAATTATTAATTTTTTTTATAAACATAAAATTTCTTCGCTGTATTATTACATTACCTGCTAATTAACTTTTTGATTGTCTAAACGATATTTTAGCTTCGATGCAAAGCGAGAAGGTATTGGTTTTACTCTGATGTGGGCTTTTTTTTTCGCTGTATACACTGTAACTTTTTTAATACTAGACCAATTCCTTTGAACAGCAACTCTATAAATCACAAATTTTGTCTAGTTTGTACTTTGGAGGGGGGTAAAAGTTGAAAAAGTTTAAGTCTTCACAGACGAAAGTTGAAAAAACAAAAAAAAAAAACCGTACGAGTTTTTAAGTTAGAACTTTTACTGGCTATAGTATCGAGAAAAAGAGTCGGATCGAGTTGAAATGTATAAGAAATATTTATTTGGTATGCCCGCGCACGTCAGTTTTGTCAAATTCAAAATATACCCATTTCCCGCCCCCCTAGGGGGGGTTCAAGTTTTTTTGTTTTTCGGGGTTTTAAGCCGTAATTTTAAAACTTTTGGGTTGAAAATTTGCCAGTAGTTGGAACTCATATGTATCCATAACATATTAAGCGGGTGAAAAATTCGGCACTACAGTTTTTTTTTAATTGCCGGAAAACCGTGTTTTCGCACATTGCGTATATTTTAACAAAAACACACAAAATCTTTAAAAAAAAGTGATCAAATCATTAAAACAATTTTATTTATATCTATGCAGAATGATACTATTAGGTTTTGTGCTCAAGTACCACTTTTGACTTAAAGTTTACACAAATTCAATTTTTTTTTTTTTTTTACTTAAGTTCTTTCCGGATGATTAAAATTGAGAACTGATATTAAATTCGTAATCACCGACCCAAAAAACATATAATTTGACCACTTTTGATGTCTTTTACACAAAAATCCAGAAAAATGTTTTAGCTTCGATGCAAAGCGAGAAGGTATTGGTTTTACTCTTATTTGAAAGCGATTTTATTCAATTTTATCACTTTTATTTATGATAATTCTTGTAGACCTGTGACCTCTCCGTTTCCTCATTGCTTTGATTACATTATGCCAATACTCTACTGTACTAGTCCACTCGGATAAAATCACTTTCAAATTAACGCTTCGATGCTCATTTGTAAATACAGAACCTTCATTTAAAACTTTCTAACTTTGCTGGTTTATACTGTGCTTGGTTTGGACTGTACTGGCTTGAAAATACTAACTACCGATTTGCATCGAAGCGTTTTTTCGAAAGTGATTTATCACTTTCAGATTTAAAAATTCCTGTAAACCTGTGACCTCCCCGTCACCACTATGCCCCGACCCAACTATGCTCCGTCCCCACTATGCACCGACCCCACTGTACTGGTTTTTTATTTTTTACATTGAAAACGGTTCAGGAACACATGGATGAACAAGGGATTATGGATACATTTATAGTCCAGAGATTCTTAAGAGATTTTGTTAGTTACGACAAAGACAGTGATGGTTTCCTCACACATGAAGAGTTTTCTTCTTGGGTGGAACTCGCAAGACATGATATGTTTGATAAGCCAAAAGGCGGTCATCCTCAAAATTTCGACGGTAGATCTGCAAAAATACATTAACGAATCAATCATAATTCGTATTGACCATTGCTCATACAAATATAATTTTTTTTTTTTAGGAGATAAAACAAACTTTGCGAATTTCTTGAAAATAACTTTTTGCTACTATGAAAAGACTAAAAATCAAGAGGAAATTGAGCTAACCATTGAATCTGATGATGACAAACAAGCTTAAACAATTATATATTAATTTTATCTTCTGCATGCACAATATTCGTAATAATATTATTTTAAATTTCAACATATTTACATTTATTTATTAATTAAAATTTTAAAGTACCGCTCCTTTATGTCTAATATAGAAAATTAATGTAATTAGAATTTTTTTTTTTTTGACATGAAATATATAGTTATATATTATAATGTTGGTTTAATTATTTCTGTAGCAAATGTTTTACACAATATGGTATAACGCTGTGAGTTCCTTTATGTTTTTGTATTCGTTTTCATCGGACTATTTAAATGTATTCAGTCCAAGTTAATCTTTTTTTCGAAACTGTATTATCAAAAATGATTCTAAAACAACGTCGTGTGGCATATTTGCTTTTAAGCAATGCCAAGACTATAATACAAATAATGAATACATTATCATGTATTCTATTCTGACTTTAAAGTAACTGACAATTTAGAAAGACTGTGCAACACATATGTTGGGAAAAACACGTGGACAGAAATTAGTACATTATTTACATCACATATAAATAAAGAACCCCTTGTTCAAGGTAAAGAAATGAATCCCGCAAGAAATTCTGCGAGGATCTATCACACAGTTATTGATATATTCAAACCGTTTATGTTGCGAATTATGTGGACTTTCTTGGATAATTTTCTATATTTTATTATAAAAATTTCTATATTTTATTAGAAAACTTCTATATTTTACAAAATTTCTATATTTTATTATAAAATTTCTATATTTCATAAAATTTCTGTTATTTTATTTCTATATTTTTTAAAATTTCTGTATTTTATAAGATTTTTATATTTCATAAAATTTCTATATTTAATAAAATTCTGTATTTCATAAAATTTCTTTATTTTATCAAATTTTTTTATTTTCATATAAAATTTCTCTATCTTATTATAAAATTTCTGTGTTTAATAAAACTTCTATATTTCATAAAATGTCTATATTTTATTATAAAATTTCTGTGTCCATTAAAATTTCTATACTTAATTATAAAACTTCTATATTTTATAAAATTTCTGTATTTTATAAAATTTCTTTATTTTATAAATTTTTTTTTCATATAAAATTTCTGTATTTTATTATAAAATGTCTATATTTTAATAAAAAATTTCTTTATTTTATTATAAAACTTCTGTATTTTATAAAATTTGTATACTTATTGACGTTAACCAATGACGACGTAGAGAGATTCGCAAAAGATTAAACTAAAATACAATGTAGATAAAATAATACAGTTATTAAATATGTGTGGGGCTGTACATGCTAATATATAACTTAACTTGTACAACGTACGTATGGTATAGAGTTGTTGTTAAAGCTTAAGCCTAATCAAAAAATAAATACATTTTCTCAATTATTTGGGAAGATTCACAAAAAATCTTTTAGGTTCACAGTGGAATTGATACAAAAAGCTTTTTATCATATGTATATCATTATACCTGTTATATTTCAAAATCTCGCATTCTATCATATAAATTATAGGTTTATGATACCTAACTAAAGTCTGTATATTATATATATATATATATATTTGTTTTTTTCAATCAAACAGCACTAGGAGTAAGATAAATAAAAAAACCCAAGTCTGTGGTATTTATGTATAATAATTTGTTCAGTAATTATCCTTCTTTCAGTATAAATTACCATAAAAGTTGAAAAGTCATCGTTTGACGACTACTCCAATGATTTGTTGTCGTCCCGAAAAAAATCATGTTTAATAAACCAATGTAGTTGTTAGATGCATTTTCTGTCTAGGGGAAATCATACTGCACCGATTAGTGCATTGGTGTAATAATAATTACATAATCCAATAGCCATGTCGTTATTTTATAACCTTAACCACATCCTATACCTAGTTATCAATATAACATTAAATATGCAAGTCAGGTAGCTTGTAAATACGGTGACATAACCATGTAAAACCAAGTTACTATTTACATAAAACAATTACAAATAGTTTGCCTGTAGTGTTTAAATTTGTTAAATTTGACGGAATAGCGTCCTCTCAAGAACCAGTATATTTTCTTTTAAATTAGATCATGAATGACCGCTCTTATAAAAAAAAAAAAAAAAAACCATGGCAAACATAAATTTGATGCATTTTTACTTTTATTAAATAGAATGCAGTGTCTAATTAAAAATTAAAAGGCATATTACATTTATTATTATATTATTACTATCATTTTAATTATTATAAAGTATAATATGACGAATAAAATAAATATGAATACCTATTAGTCGATGAAGATATTAGTAGTGCTTTAAAAAAAAAATATTTGAATTTAATAAAAAAAAGTATTATAAATTTATTTAGAATACTTTCGGTTCTTTGTCTAACGTATCATAGTAGTAACTCTAGTTTTGCTACTAGATTGTCTGTCTCAATGTTGTCTACTTGATAAAATATTTTATTAATGTATCTGTATTTTTCAAATTGGCCGTTTCCATATCTTAAGATACAAATGCGATTTTCAAGATTAGCGGTCAATAATACAGCAGTTTTTGTACTCTTCCACGCTTTTATGTAACAACACATATATTTTAAAACATAGTACATGGCTAACGAGTCTGTAATATCTGGGTATTTCGGATCTAAAAAAAAAAGATATATTTATTAGCTTAGTAACCAATACTTTACTTTCTTTATTGTGCAATACAAAACTGCTGTAGTGCATAAAAAAAATAATACAATTATATAAACGTTAGATTAGACAAACCTATCAAATATGTGTTGTGTGAACTTTATAATATTTGTACATTATAATTAAAAAACTAAATTTGTGTGTTACTGGAATAAAGGTTTGGCAACTTTGATTCATTAAGGGTTAGACACTAATTTTCTCGAAATATATAAATATTTTGAACAATATTTTTTTCCAAGATTTTTTGGTACACATTGTACTATATTTTTAAAAATTTTTATCACCAATCCTTGAAGGCCAAAAAGGGGGATTTTTATTTTTTTAAATGGCAACATATGTTTTTAATTACATACATTTGTAGACAAAAATTAAAAAAATATTTTAGCGTTTGAATTTTCATTTATTTGTTCATTAGCTATGACTTTGTTAAGATACTACATTTTTTCTTAATAATTATCATATTTCTTCGGTTTTCCAAAACCG